AGCAACAATGTCGGTATGCGCCGACCAGTGTCTGCCTGTGTCGACCTGTGCCGGCGAGTGTCAGCGACTGGCAAGTATAGCGAATGACATGAATATGCATGAGTTGGGTCGCCGCTCGCCTCGTACGTACAGCACATATATGGCCGCGCAGATTTTCCCACGATTAGCGACGCGCGCTCCGGCGGTGACATAAGGATGTCATACCAACAACGAGATCGATAGGCAGAAAATGTAACCGAATATTGATCTATTGTATCAGCAATATTGATTTTATTTTGGAAGTTTTACTTTATTTGTAAAATAAGCTTTTTACTAATTAATATAATTCATTAGGTACCTACTAGGATAGAGTGATAGTGAGAAACGTCTCATTTACCTTCATTAGTATTGCGGTTATGGATAAGACCAGGGACAAGGATCATAATGAGAGAACACTCAAATCGTACAAATGTCTGTGACGAGAGCCTGTGAACGGATGCGCAAGCGCCGCGGCGCCGCGGAGGAATTCTGCCTTCTATTGTGGCAGGAAATAGCTCAGCCTTTACGATCATTGCCATATCTTTAACTTTGGTATACTTTGCAAGTTTTGGCGAAGGTCTAGTAAAAGTATGAAACTTGTTTTTTAATTAGCCATCCGAAAGTATATTAATTTTACTACTAGTAACCATATAAGTCTTCGCTTTGACTAGACTTTCATAAAGATAAGTATTTAATTAAAATATTATAATAGTAATCGTTACTTATCAATGATAACATAAAACATAATGTGTCTGTTCAAAAATAGGGAAAGAAAGCTTCTGGTGGCTTTTATCACGCTCGAAGCGATGAGATTATTAAATATGGAAGCAGGATGAGCCGTTCGAGTACCAACATGCTCTCGCCAAAAACTTGTTCTTAAGTTAAACTAAGTTTTGTCGATCAAAAAACGGTAAGTGAGCTATTTAATAGATGTTAATGTATTCAGCGGAGCCCGTGACCGGCGACGAGTCGGCCGCGGCGCGTCAATGACCCTCGGCATTTACCTACATTACATATGTACGTGCTCCTCTCCTTTGCTCGCTTTAATCTGCTAATGTTAATTTAAGTGCTAAACAAATCGCTCGTTAGACACTTTACATTGTACTTAACTGTTTTATGTTACAAATTACATATCTTTATTTAAAAAACATGAAGCACGAGTGATGCGGCTCATTTAGGAGAATTGAATTTTAAAAAATTAATACTTTCTTAGATTTACGCAAATCTCTGACATTTTGAATAAAACTATATTTTCGGATTTTTTTGGCGGATTTATTTTGATTTTTGGTTCCCGACGTTTCGAATGCTCAGTCTTTCCCATGACCATAATCGCGGTGAAGCATTCGAAAAGTCGAGGAACAAAAATCAAAATTAATCCGTGAAATAATCCGATAAGATAGTTTTATTTAAAATGTTAAAATACATATTTCTTCTAGAACTATGTAAGAAATTTCGTAAATATTAATATCATTATAAAAACAAACAGGCGTAACAATAACTCAAAAGTTACAATAAAATTATGTTCACACGTGAAGTAATAATGATTATAATCGTTAATTATATTTCATCAAAATTAATGTTTGAACTGTTATAAAATTTATTTTAAGGATTGAAAATGAATATGCCAAAGTAAATGAATCATTTTTATTCGCAAAGATTATTGAACATATATTGTAGTAAAATATAGAAACAACACAATGGCAAAGGAAGCTGTGGAGATGAACAATTAGGCAGAGTGAAAGCAGCGGAGTCGATGAGTCTCTTCTAAACATTTACTTTTATATTTGTAACTCACTTTTTGCCTCTAATGATAGTAATATCCGTTATTGACAAATGTGCGATCATTTATTCAAATTACTTGCGACAGCTGTTCTGTGATTTTATTACCACTGTTCATTTAAATATAGAAATATTGGACTTTAGGAAATAAATCATGACAAATTGATACTTAGCAGGTTAAAATGTGTGCGCTGGTGGCCTCCTGTTGTATTGCTTTTTGGTAAGCTTCTGGATAATATTTATTAAGAGACAGAGAGTTAGATATGTTTGTTTTTATCTACTTTAGAATAATTTGTTTGAATAACGCTTTAAATTTTTCTTTTACTAAACATACCAATATATTTTGCTATAATAATATAAAATACATGGTAATTTTAATTTTTAATTAATAATCACCAAAACATTTAAATTTTAATACGAGTACATCTACTCATATTAAGTTCGCATCAAAATTAGATAGTACAGTTATTTTATATTTCATTAATTTTGAACAGCGGAAACGAGATTGATGATACAATAATAAATGGAATAAGAATGAATATTCAAAGGTTTAATAAACTTATGATCTATACAGATAAATAAAATTGAAGTGTCTGTTTATAATGTCAAAATAACAGCGTTTTACTAAATGCATATGAAATTATATGAAAATTATATACATTACGATAAATATACACATATGTACATATAAAACAATATATTTTTTATATTTTTAATTTTTGAAAGTTAAGTTAATAAAAAAATATGTTTTCCTGTAGATATTCACTATTGTATTTTCTTTGTTCATGTTCTTTTGAATGTCATAAAATAAATATTCAGATTACACAGTTTGTCTTACATTTAATTATTGCTTGTAAAGAGATGTCAGTGGCATTAATTCTGGTTAATCACTACTCGACAGTAGAGTTGTAACTACTTACGACCGACGATTAGTTATGACTGTAATTTGATTATTGGAAATGCACAGTAGGTACTTATAAACGCTCTAGAGGGCTATTATTTAAAATTCGATCTTTCCAGAATTCAACTTTAATGTATGTACTGATTAAAATTTCATTGCCAACCGTTTTATTTTCGTATTTTAACTTTCTCACCATGAAATTAAATAGTTATTGCCTTTCTTAATTAATTATAAATATAATGTAAATTCTTCTTTGTTCAATAATAAACAACCACATACAAGAACAACAAACAGAAAGTGTGGAATGTACCTAAATAATATTTACGTAGAGTGTTAAATATTACGAAAAAGACAATGAAAGTTAACATTATTTGTTAATAACAGTTTATATTGGGAAATTTATATTTTGTAGGTTCATATGACCCCTATATCTACTTTAATTTAATGCAAGTTAATTATACCTAGGTGTTGGAGCACGTTCGCAGTAGCGAGTACTAGGGACGCGTGGACAACGTATCATTGCGGGCAATTAAGCGCATTACGCGGTCATCGGGAGCGTGCGACGCGTCTCCGCGCGTCACCGACAACTACAGATATCGTGGACATCGTTCTAGATGGATAAGTAAACTAAACTGATCCGTTTTTGCAACAATGATATTTACATGATATTTTGTAAGGATATTTTATTGCGATAAAATGAACATGAAATTGATTCATATTATTTGTTCTTGACTTGATCTCCCTCTCTCTTGGTTTTATTTATTCTGCCTCGGTGGTGTAGTGGCTAGCATGTACGGCTGCACACCCGGAGGTCCTGGGTTTGAATCCCGGGTCGGGCCAAGTTTAGTTATTGAGTCTTCCTGTATAGTAAGTCTCAGTAACAGCCTGGAGTTGGGAAGTTGGCGGTGTTTCACCCCCGTGCCTCGGAGAGCATGTAAAGCCGTCGGTCCTGCGCCTTAACTCTCACCGGTCGTGTCTCGTGTCGTCCCACCGGAGTATGAGAGTGATAGGAATAGAGAGTGCACTTGTGTCTGCGCGTACACTTGTGCACTATAATATCTCCTGCGCAGTTGGCTATTCTCATTGAGATTGGCCGCCGTGGCCGGAATCGGCTAGGAGGACATCATACAACTGCACGTATTGTTTTGTATTATATATGATAGTTTTATAACATTTAGACAGTAATTTGGTATGTGTTTTGAAAATAACAGGTGCTTGATACTTTATTAGATTTACGCGAATATTTGACATAATAAATAAAACTATCTTTTCGGATTATTTCGCGGATTTATTTTGATTTTTGGTTCCCGACGTTCCTGTGTCTCCCGTGACCATGATTGCTGTAAAGCATTCGAAACATGGTCACGGGAGAGATTTGAATCTCTCCCGTGACCATGGATGTTGTGAAGCATTCGAAACGTCGGGAACCAAAAATCAAAATAAAACCGCGAAATAATCCGAAAAGATAGTTTTATTTAAAACAGGTGCTTAAATTAATTACCAGGATTAATTATCGGTAGATATATTTAAAAACTAAATTATGTGCAAGTCCCTAAGTAATTCTTTAGCTTTCGTTTCAAGGTTTAAGCAGTTTTAATTTTTAGTCCAATAATAGTGAGGTATAAATATAAGTAAATTGTATCTAACATTATACGTAATTCTTGAGGAAGTGTAGCTTAACTAATACTTATTTGTATTAAATAATACGTCAAAACAACCTAAACTTTTTTAATTAGACCTTTACGAAAAGATAGAAAATACCTGAATACACACACACACTTTTCAACTTCTATTTTTTTTATCTAAAATATAAAAAAAAAAAATTAAATATCCACATCGTAAGTCCTTGAGGAAGCTACCAACTCTACCGAGGCTACTGAAAACAGCGCAAAAGAAACTCAACACTCGATCTTTTGAAAATATATGTTAGTGATACTAGATTGCAAATTATAAGTAATTTTATGATACTAAGTTGATAAATAAAATAAATTTTACTGTTATGTACTCATGTTAGTCTGATTAGATTTAGAAATAGATACCTACAAATTTTGCTCACATAGAGCGCAGCTTGCACAGTTGTTATACGATAAGCTTAATTTTCAAACATTCATTCATTATTCATTCAATCTCTAACAACATCCAGCTTTTGAATATAATTTGTTACATTAACTACATGTAGAGTGTCTCACTTAATTTTTTGGTAAAGCATCAAAGTGCAGTGCATAGGTGTTTTCAGGAGAAAATGCGACTGTATCCAGCCGATTTTAAATGTTAAATATCGTGGTCAGAGGAATGTTAGGTGATGCTGGTGGTGACGTACTTGCAGGCAGCAGGCGAGGGCGAGGGCGAGCAGCAGCGGCGCGTGCCGCGGGGCGCGCGGGCGCATGGGGTCAGCGAGGCGCGGGGCGCCCGCGGCGCGCTCGCTGGGGCGCTCGCCGCATGCCGCGCACCGCCTCACTGCACTGCACTGTCCGCACTGTGCACACTGTCTGCACTGTCCACACTGTCCACTGGCACTGTCGCTGGTCGCGTACTGTCGCGTGGTGTCGCGCTGAATATCACGGAAGAGACGTGCGCTCGCCGCGGGGCTTCGGCCTGGACTGCGCGCCCCGCCGGCGCTGCGGCTCTACCACCGCGCCTCTCCCGGCACTGCGCGACGGACGCACTCCGATGGCCGATTACATTTCACGACTGTAATGCCATTTAAAGATAACTATTAGTTTGTGAGAGCAATTTATAAACGGTGATTTATTTAGTTTTCTTCTTTCTATTTTTATATAAAAATATATCGGTAGTATGTAAAGCTTCTAGTTATATACATATCATATTTTGTGAGTTAAGTATATCTTAATTTAAAATATACTTATATAGAGAATGAATTAAATTAACAGATAAATAAATCTAAAAGGTACAAATCAGTTTACTTGAATGTAGACTTCTTTAAGAAAAGAGCATCGACAGGCAGTAAGGTAGCAAGATTGGTATGCGTTGTGAGACGACCGTCTAATGTAAATTATTTCTCTCTTTGATATATGGTATTGTTGTCATGCAATGTTTTATATCTATTTATTATAAAATAAACAAAAAGGTTTAGCTTCTTTAAATTAATTATTATTTTAAATTAATACGTAATTTAGTCCTACTCTATTATTACAAATTATAATATTTATATAAATTTGGTACAAATATGTAAAGTAAACATTAAACAGGATCAGCAAAGGACGGCGCAGCCCTCGCTCCATACAATAGGTGATAATTGTTCACCCGCCGGCCGGCGCCGAGGCACAGCATCTGGCGCAGGGGGTGAGAGCACTAACCAAACATAGTACATATAGTACTTATTATACAGTATTTAAAGTTATCTGCTAGACAGGTCCGAGAGCGCGGGCTTGCTTATATATATAGATATACAATGTTAGCAGTTAGGTGTTTATTGAGTGATGGGTAGAGGCTCGTATCGTATCACGAATGTACGTAGCGTTGACTAACGAACTACTAGAATGCAAAGAATCAGCTGTTTGTAAACTTTGAATTTCAAATTGTTAACGACTCTTTATAATAATTTTTCATTATTTTATCCAGTATTATATCTTTGAAAAGTGTACTAAAATGCATGTTCTAATTGGAAAAGTCTTTTCAATACAGTAAATAATCAGAGGTTGAGTGTTCGATGCGATCGGACAAAACATATCTGAGATCAGGACAGAGACGAGTTGTATTATCTTGATCTGTACACAAAAAATATTTATAACAGGCGTCTCAGCGACCGGCTTCATTACTACTTGGAGATGCATTCAAGCAGAAAGTTGGTGATATAATATCTCTCAACAGTAACTTTTTGTGTTCCTTTGACTTTTATTAATTGGTATTTCTTTAAGTTAATTAGTTTTAGAGATAATAATAGAATGTACTGAATTGGCTAAAAAATAATAACCATTGCATTAATTTTAACGAAAAAAAAATACTGTTACGTAAGTTGCAAAGTACGTGTAAGTAGCAAAGCACAGCAATCATAAATACAGTCTGAATAAAATGTTTATTATTTTTTAGCCGCCAATTAATGTACTTTGAAGAATAATATTAAGGAATTTGTATAAAAAATATGACGAAGTCGACCATCCCGTGCAGGGAACTCTGGGGTAGCAGCGGCATGCGTTGCACTCGCTCTTATCGTACCAGGATCGCATCGATGCTTCCCGCGCCCAATAAAAACGATATTATTATTTCCACACCGGACCGCTTCTTCGACATTCGACGATAATAAATAACTTCCTAAACGAGACAACTTCACAAATTGTCGCCCCATTACGCTTCCTCACCTTAATCCATGAATTTTGAACTCTGTGGCGGCGAGCGACGCGCCGCGCTGTGCGACCGACTGTCCGACGCATGTAATAAAATTGTATCGTAATTTATTGGGAGTAGAAAAATAGTGGTGAGATTATAGATACACATTTTGTGTTGGAGCCTGACCGCGGGGATACTTACAGGCAGAGATAACCACATGTTTATTGTAAGCACGCGCTTCTACATTTTATTATTGCATTCAACTTAATATTATAAATTAATTATCCTATTCAGGAATATTTTACTCTTTTTACAGTTCTGCTTTTACAATGTTACATTGTAAAAAAAACGTAAATATAAATCTGTATTGATTGCAAATTATTTATAAAACGGAATGCCAACATTGCAACATAAAAGAGTTTAAAGAATCCTGGAGCGATGGCACTGCACAGGGAAGCGGCGTGTCGCTCCCCGGCGGCGGCGTCGCGGGGAGCACACCCGCGGAAATGCACTGCTCCATATTCGGCAACTATTCTCACGCTGACCTGCTCGCCAATTTATTCTGAACCATCCCAATTGTAATGACCATTCTGTATTTTTTAAAACTTAATTGTTGATAACATTGATTAATGAATTGTTAACAATTCAAAGTTGAAATTATAATATTTTTGTATTATAGTTATATTAAATAGTACCTAGTAGTAGGTAAAATACAAGTCTCGTAGTAATAGGTATTACTGTATATTACATAAGTATTACTACGAGTATGTAAAATTATGGAGAGTAATCAGATGTGTTTCTCGTTCTCACGCAAATAAACGCTAGGTCAATTATAATTCCTGAGCGGAGCTGTGAATTGAGGAGAAGCGACGGGCGGTGAAGGGAAGTGGAGGGCATGCGGGGGAGGGGAGTGAGAGGGGTGGAGGGGTGGAGGGGTGTCGGTTGCTAGACAATTAGCACGATCATGGTATGGTATGAAACTGTTGCCACGAGTGTCAAATGTCTTGTCAATTGAACTTCATTTATTACATCGTGTTCAATTTAATAACGGAGAACTTTCATTTCCTTCAACAATATTTTTAGTGGTCACTCTTTTTAAAAAGAACATATCCTTAAGTATAGTGTTGTAACAAAGAATAATAAGTTGACTGTACATGTATCGATCGCTGCCCGCGGAGCTTGCAGCTCTACAAACCAGTTGCGCGGTGGGTTATTATTTGGTTGATGAACGGCAGTAAAGGCATCTCACCAGATACAACATAACAAGTTGCAGCGATTACTAACACGCCTACTTCTACTTTTGTAGAAGATTGCTATTATAATAATGACGTTAGCCTTATAGAGAAACAAATCATTAAAATTGTTTAAAATTCTTTTACGTGAGTAGAATCTGAATATAATATACATATGTAGCAGTATTTATTTATGGCGATAATGTAAAAAATATTATAATGTCACTATTTTACATTAATTATAGTGGTTCTATTATGTTTATGATTTTTTGCACAGTGCAACGATGTCAGCACGTGCAGGTCGCCACGTGTCGCTACAGTCGGCGGAGTGCGCGCGCGCAGATTCTCAGGCTCGGGTGCGTGCGCGTGTGAGTGAGCGCAGGAGCACATAAGGTTATGTTATATATGGGATGAGGAGCGCGGGTTTAATTAAAATACCTGCGCAGGCGACTACCAGGACGAGAGTAAGGAGAGGAATAGAATTTTCCTTTAGATACGGCTGATGATATTAATTAAATTATATATTTTGTTTCTATCACAAATTAATTTATGTATATATATTTATTTATGTGTATATATATAAATTATTTACCAGATCGACAATTTATATCTGTAACTAGCTAATCACCTGGGCTATATTTCAAGCAAAACAAATCGGATTAGTAGTTCCTGAGATTAGCGCGATCGAACAGACAGACAAACAAACAAACTCTGACTCTTTATAATATTAGCAATGATAATGTTGTCAACAATTTTATATTTCCAGAAGAATATACTTAAGTTCAAAGTATTGATCTTCTACCCCGTGTTCGGCGCAGGTGCGCTCGCTGGCCTATAGCCCGCAGCGTCGGGCCGCCGTCGTGCTGTTCTTCACGCTGTTTACTCTGCCTCAAGCCTTTCAGCGAGTGCACTTCTTTCCAAAAAGTTTGATAATATTTAATATCATTATCCTGAGATGGACACCATATACCTATTATTTAAAAAAAATGATAACTACATACATCTATTTTCTATTTCTAGAGAAAATTTCATGTGTTCATTTCATAATTACAATATAATATGTTATATCTGTTATTGTCAGGTAGTCATGTCTTTCTATTATATTATTGCAAAGAAACACGGAAGCAAGATAATGTTTCCAAAAAAAAAATGTTTCCAAGAATCTGTAGTCTTTCTTAATGAATTGAAAGTAGCATCTAAGCAGTAATAGGCGATCGTCCCGAGTCCCGACCCACAGCCCGCGGCGCCCGAGGACTCGCCACTGTCCGCACGTCGCTCACGACCTGCCTCAGGTGCTAGTCCCTTTTGGTACTATAAATCAGTTAGCTTTATTCATGAATTACTGCGTAAATTATTAAAACCAACTAAATAATACTTTTATCGAATTATTATATTTAGTAATTAAAGGATATATTTCTTAGCTCCAATGTTGGTAATAATTACTTAGTTATATAAAATTCCAAGACATATTGAGATGATGTATTCGTAACAATATGACGACGAAACCTAGCGTCGTTCAGTTATGTATGATACACATTGCATTGTGCACTGTGTCAGACAAATTGAATGGGTGCGCGGTGGTCGCGGGGCGGTCGCGACAAGTGCCCGCTGCACACTCGCGCACGTGTGCGAGTGTGTACGCCGGGCTGCGTGTGCGCAAGGCAACCTGTACCCTGCACGAACGGACTGCGCACCGCAATCTCGCTTCTTCCTCTGCTTACAGCTCGAGTGAATATAACACGAGTACTTCAAGTTCAAAGGAAAATAATAGGATACAGGACACGCTAATACAACATCAAATGTATAAATTGACGCGAACAAACTTTTACCAGCAACTACAATCTCATCGTTTTTAAGGATTTAAAATCTAATGTATATAGTTCAGTTCTTGCAATCTCGAGTTTTCATTGACTGTTTTCAAATGAAAAATAAAATCACTTGTAGAATTGATGGGCGACGGATTGGATGCTGGGACCTGGGCCTCGAACGACCGGTTTGCCGCAGCACTGCCCTCCCCCTCCCGTGCCCTCACGCGCACACCCACTGTGCAATCTCAGCGCGGGAACAATCGCTACACCCCGTTTATTTTTAGATGACTGGTTAAGACAAATCCACGTCAATTCTGCCTGTAAGTACCTCAGGACTACAGCCTAGCTCTAAGACACTAGGAAACATTTACTCATGTATATGTTCGTGTGCCGGCTTAGCCTCGAAATATTTATATGAAGGACATTGTCAGTGGACAATTCTGTTCAAATGTCATAGAATTCATTTAAATATTTTATGTAAGTATTAAGAACTAAAAAATAAATTTAAACTAAAATTGTTTAGTTGCTATTCAGAAGTCCTGCTCTCGTTGTGGCGAGATAAGTATTGCGTTCCCTCACGGCGGCGACGCGTGAGCAGACTGCCGACGACCAGCAATGGTTCGCGGTACCCGCGCGGTGTGCAGCGCGCTTCATATCCTGACCTTACATGCTCCTTTGCCGCTGTAATAAAACATCTGCAGCAAATTAATATCACAAGCAAAGCTACATACCTAATATAATATTGAATAAATAGAAAGAAATAGATACCTTCTTAGTTTATCCAGAATTTATTTTCTCATATGAATGACGTACACGAGCACGTACGTCGTCAGAGCGACGGCGATCGACCGCATCATCGGATAAACCGCAAATGTCTTTCGAGCTATCGAGTACCTATTGATTATGCTTTTTATTTTATTTTATTGATTATGTGATTATTATTATTTATTTAGCATTTAAGTAGTTATATAAAAACCACATTCAAGCTATTAACTACGATACAAAAAGCATTCCGTTTTTACTAACTAGTTGTTTGAAATACTTGAAAAACTTAATTTTCGAAATTTTGAGCAAGAGTATACTTTACTCAACTGCACTAACAAACAACGGGAACACCGTCTTTTCTATAATCCCCTCCGTGTCCGTGCCATGGCCGCGTCGTGGTCGCGTCTCTCGTCGTTATAATATTATGATTCACGGATTATCTTAATCGCATTAGTGCACGATCGACCTTATCAAATGCTTAATTACTATGAAACGACTTTAAAAATTATATTTAAGCCCATCAGATCTGATGTCACGGCATCCCGAGCGACAGTAAGTCGTCTTTTCTGTTCAACAATCATTTATGTTTTGTTAATATTCTGTTAAGAATTTAAATCAATAATACATCTTATTTCACATTTGACTTGGAGCTTTCAAAAAGCGAGTTAATTAAAGTAAAATCTTTTTTTTTGTATTAATTTCTAAAATTTAGCATTTTTAATATAAATTCTCTAAGAATATGAATTGTGATAATTAAAACCTATAGAGCAAACAGCTCGGTGATTACAGTCTGTTATACATAAATGTATGTACATATATGTGTTTTATGTATGTCACATACATTCTTTATCGAGTTCATACGGTTTAACGGTCTCTGCTCGAGATATTGAATTTTTTAGTTAATTAAAATTCCACGATTTGCGCCGCAGCGTCCGAGCGGATTACATTCGTCCATGTCGTGTGAAATATGAATGGAATAGTATTTAATGAGCAACAACGAGCCACGAACTCGCTGAGACCACTATGTCAGTGGTCAGTCGATCATCAGTAGTCAAGGGGCATTGTCATCTTCGTCGAGTCGTCGCCGGGGAATTGGATAATGGGCGAGATGCCCGCACGTCCCGCGAAACTGACACACTCGAGGTCGTCCAATTGTTACTACTCATAGGATGCGAGCGTCACATCTGAACTCACTTTCTCTGTCGTTTTGTTGCGTTTGTAATTTAATATGTATGTATTAGTGAATTTATGATAAATATATGATATTGTAGGTACTTGTTTTGGCCTGTCTCTGTGCATAATGTAACTGAATCAATTCTAAAAGTCAATTTGTTGTTTGCTTTGTCGCTGTGGGAAAGGACAAACTAACAAGACAAGAAACATTATTTTGCGTTTATGTAGTAAGATTTATTTATGAGTTTCAATATGTTATAGGTGTATAATTAATTTAAATATTGCGTAAATAACTCATACGTTAATAAGAAATGGGATACGTACAGACGAAGAGAGATAACTGGGTATCATAGAGTGATGAGTACTCGTAGATGGGACGTGGCTACCATTAATTTGTTATTCCAGTCACTGACGTCCAAACACATTAGCTGTTTACTTAGGATGCACTCTGGTATGTCTGCGGCCGAGGCCAGCTCGTTCTAAAGTAAAAACTTTTAAGCCACTTAGGTGTATATAAAGACAATATATTTATTAGGCATACTATATTTTTTCAGATTTTTATGTAGTGTGGTCAAATCACACTTGTTGAGTATGAATTAAACTACAGTTTGACAGTAAGTGTTGGAAACTTTTGTAACTTAAGCCAAGAAAAAATATCAGTCCATTTCAGCTATAGTCGTTTAAAAATCTTATTGTGACTAGATATAAAATATAAATATGCAACACGGGAGAGTTCATAACGTTGAAAAGCACAGTGTTGACAGTATTTAAGTAAGGAAAACTTTCAATAAGGTGAGCTGAAGTGGGCACTCCGACGGCAGTCCAATGTTTATACAAACTGTATAAGAGAAACGAGGGTCAAATTAACGTATCCCAAAGTTTGTTGTTAGAAAAAACAGGTCGTTAGAAAAAACAAGAGTGGCCAGGTGTGCGGTGCACAAACACGCGGCGCCGGAGTTTGCTGAGCACTCGGCGGGCACCCACCACCCCCGCCCGCGCGGTCTGTACCCACCCGCCCGAGCTGTTTGTTCTCAGAACACCAAATATTATTGGATGATGATACGCCATTTACGCGTGTCGCGCTGTCGAAGAAACCGACACCGCGCCCGCACTCCCGACAATGCCCCCATCCATGCCCCACGCCCGTGAGAAACTACGCCACCTCCATATTACCTTTTGATTTTTTACACTCAATACGTTATTATGTTTACAAGCTCTCGAATTACACCACCAGAACTAAGTTCTATAATGGACGTTTATTTTATTGCTCTATTTATAAATTTATCTACTGAAGTGGAAAAAAATATATATGTTTTTGTGATTTATGAGGTTTATAATTAGTAAATACGTAAATGACATAGAAACGCTGATACTTTTTCTGTACTTCCATTTTACTTTCAACATTCGACAACTAAACTGCACTGCAACGGCATCGTTTTCAAAAATATAATCTGTGTGAAACGAGAAACGTTATTAATAATGATAAAACACTACAAGTTTTTACGATCGGCCATAAAATATGATACGAATCGCATTGCGAGTCGGACGGTACTCGCATGAAAATATGCATCGATAAGCAATAACCGCGCAGCTCTGCTCCCGTTCCCAGCGTCCCCGCGTCTCCGCGCGGGCGCGCACACGTTATGTAATAGCTGCGGCGACGCGCCGGACATTCGCCGGCCGCCGGACACTCGCGTCCACAAAAACGCGCATCCTTTCCCATTGAGCCTGCGCTCCGCGATGCGCCTGAGTGCAGCCGGGGCTAGCCAGGGACAGACATATGATTTTATTTATTGCAAGCTTTATAGCCTTTAGGCAAAATTGATATTTAACCAATTTTCGATATTAAAACTAATATAAATAACCTTAAGTACAAAAAAAATGTAAATAGCACGCGTATTAAGAGCGTGAGATCCTATATATTATCTTATTATAATGCAGTGCAAATGTTCGGAATAAATTTGTTGCAGTCACATTATGTGCTTGTATTATGAGCGTATCGGTTTTAACTCGTTGGAGTAAATTTTTGGTCGTGACGCTGCTCCAAAGTGAAGTGCTTGCTGCCACCGGATTATTCTTATCTTTGTAAAAATCTAAATGTTCCATAACAGAGTACAGATCTGTTGTATGTCGAAATTTGTCACCAAATAACAGTTTAGATAATAAGCACACCATTTGGTTACACGCTCGAGCGAACAGAATAACTGTTAATATAAATGTTAAAAGCTCAGGAATACATTTACAGTTTATGATATTTGATAAGAGAAGATCGAGTGAAACTTTTTTTAAATCAGTTTAGTCGAGGTACACGCACTGGCAATGCCATGCAATCTCACAACTTTTTCATTGGTTTCATTTTAATAATATGTGACTCAACTGTAAATAAACAGCTTCCTGCAGAACTGCATTTATGACGACTATCGACTGACAAGAAGTAACTCATTCAACTTTTCTATGAACAATGTGTCTAGAGCTTCGAGAGCATTACTTTTTCTTGTATATAAATGTTATAACCCGCTCAGTTATGATAATATTGTTTTTACTTGAGTATTACTACTTACTGCCTTTTGGAATAGGTGCGTGCTTGCACGTGAGATGACATGAAAGTTTACTTTTATATTATCGGTGGTAGGACTCTGTCAAGCCTGAGGAGTCCGACTGGATGGGTACCACCCTCTTATCTATTTCTTCCGCCAACCAACATTGATTACATTGTTGTGTTCCGGTTTGAAGGATAAGGTAGCCAGCGTAATTACAGGCAAGAGGCATATCATCTTAGTCCTCACAGTGACAACGCACCTAAGTGCCTGCACTGTAGGTGTTATGGCCGACACGTACTGCTTTCCATCTGGTGTTTTGTTTGCTCGTTTGTCACTGAAGCCCATAAAAAAATCACTGGATAAAATTTTTTTTATTTCGTTTTTTTTCTTAGAGTTAGGGTTTAAGACTACTATCCTCTTCACATAATTGACATGACAATCCTAGAAGTGAAATATCGATCGTCTCTGTTTTTAAATATTATTTTAAAAAGTAATCATTGAGACCGGTTTCGATGGCAGATGAAGCGATGCATACAGGTGGAGGAAACAATTATTATGAGGCGTGGGTTTTTTGCAGGACAGTGCGGCGCGGCGCGGCGCGGCGGTGGTCCGTCTAATGAGTGTCCCTGCGACGCGACAAGCTGCAGCAATCTCGATCTTTGTGTCTCGGGAAAGAGTCGATAGTGCCGGCACAGAGCTGGTCGCTTCGTTCCAAATATATGTAGAACTGATCAGTAGTTTGTAGACGACGGCAGACAGAGCGGCGCGGCAACTATGCTAACTGTGGAGACAGTAATGGCATTCCGATTCAAATACTTTAGTGTATGCTAGACATACACTAAAGAAGTAAGAAAAGTAGATTCCTTTACATAGCGTACCTATTTTTCGCTTAACCAAATGAAATTTATATGAACTGATAAAAATATATGTACCTGTAATGTCACACCATTCGAATAAAAAATCAATCTTAATCATGTTTAGTTAATATAAAAATATGTTTTAAAAGCTTATGCAAATGTTAATGTTTCATTCATACAATGAAATAAAAATTATTTAATATTAGTCACAATAATATAAACCACATGTATGGAATCGTGAAGTTTACTAAAGTAATATTTTTTTTTTGTCTTATGTGTCTCCCAGCTCCGCTACCACATACCTGCTAACGAGCAGATTGGCACTTCAAAGTTGTTGAAATTGCGTGAATGAGTTTAAGGTATGCTTTTTCATTTTACGTACTCTACTTCACTTTTGCGAGCTTAACTCCATACAATAATATGAAATGAAACTATTCAAATAGACTTATTACAAGCACTTTTCAATCGTCAATTTAAAGAGCGTCTGTGCAGTCAGTCCGATTCTATATTTTTATAGGTTGGTTGGTTTGGCTGCTCTTTACTTCTTTAATAGTTTAAAGTACTATAATTAATTTTTACTTAAACGGTGTTATGAATATTGTCAACAATACATTAAGGGCTGGCTTTGCATAGTATCTAATGGTTACCTGCTTTACCAAAGAGAATGCAAACTTTATAAATAAGTGAGCGGGCTTCTTTTTTGCCCAATAAGTAAGCTGATAATTTATAATTTTTGGATACGTTTAATGAAGAATTTCTAAGGTTTCAAAAGTATCTACTTTAGGTTTAGTTAGAATCATTATAGGGTTTTTCATCAACTTATTTCGTCGAGGTCGAGTTCATGAAAAGTATAGTTATGTAGAGTCCTTACTGCTTTTTCTTGATGATGATATACTCACGTTCTAACACGTAATTTTCGATAGCAGTGTCGAAAACATCGTGTAATTTGCGCGAAACTAGCTATCAGAGCTCAGTGCGATCGGGAGTAATAGCTGCAGAGCACACATACATACTTTACAATCTATTTAGTGTTGTATAAAAACGACGTACATAGTTCTCTGACCGATACGCTATCTTTGAGAAAACGTATATACCTAAATACATTTTTGTTGCAAATAACAAAGACTTTTGCATTGTTGTATAGATAGGAAGAAAAGGAAGGAAGAGTTTACTTTCTTAGATTTACGCGAATATTTGACATTTTAAATAAAACTATCTTTTCGGATTTTGTCGCGGATTTATTTGCATTTTTGTTTTCCGACATTTCGAATGCTTTACAGCATTCATGGTCACGGGAGAAACTGAGGTGTTACATGTCTCGAAGGCAGTGAGATAGTTTTATTTAAAAAGGAAGAGTTTATTGATTTAATATAAACAAAATTATCAATTTCAAACAATAAATTACTATGGATAAAGAATAGTTTCATGAGATTATTTTTTTAAATCGACGTACATATTTCTTTTCATAAACCTCAAAGTAGAATTTAATTGGTGCTAAAACTGAAATAAAAGAAAGTAACATAAACTGTTGCAGGTTGCTTCTCAAAGCAGAAGCAAACACAAAACTATAATACCAATGACGCGGTTAAACAGTTAGCAATCCTTTCTTTTAATGTTAATTTTTTTTGTAATTTATAATTTTATTAAATAATAAATATATATTATTTCAGTCCTGGCGAGTTATTTACTCAGTTCTTCTCAACATCGGCGTTTTCTTTCCGAATGATTTGTAGGTAATCGTTCAGGTAGGTAAAAAATGTTATAATCTACTGCTGAATAAAAATTCAAAAATTTTAACTTTTTAAGATGAGAGGGTGTGGACGTTACGATAAAACTTTATACTTATCCATAAGGGTAAAACTGTCTTTAAAAAATTAAACACACATTAATTCAAAAATATACAAAAATTTCAGAATACGAATTATTCCCACGACAATTCGACTAATCCTCGTTATCGCATCAACTCTGCCTCATAGTAACATGTTATAGTTATAATGTGTACGCATTAGAGGTATAATAGAAATATTGTCAGTAGCAAGCCGGGAGCAGTGAGAGCGTCCCCATCTGGCTGAAGTGCGCCATAAAATCACAAAGCCGTCTGTTGAGAGCGGTTGCGAGCAGAGCCCCGCACTTGCCATCTGTGCTAAATTATATTATTTATTTATGATATGCCCCATAACACCATTGTTATTAAATTTTTTGGAAATTCTTGTTATTTCAATTGTAAAGTATAACATTTTTGATTTCAAAGGATCGCTGCATACCGGATGATGTTCCACAAGCTATTTTATTTTATAGATATATAAAGGTTCAATGATCCAATTGTGTAATATTTTACTTGTACTCCTCTACAAAATCGAATTAAGTATATAAAATGAAAACATTCTGACAATCAAAATAAAAAATATATGTAAGTTATTAGCCATTTACTCCCGCTTCGATCGGATGCATCCCTAGATCTAATTAGTTTATGTGTTTTTTACTCGAGAACATAGTCTATCTATATTCTAAGCGTACGAATCGGTCCAGCCGTTTCAGCGATAAGGAGTAATACGCGCACAAAAATACATAAATACAAACTCGTTTCGCCCTTTTACGTTCCTAGGTGTCTTTTTACCATAGATTTTATTGATTTATTTATTTGAAACCGTTTAGACAACGCGTAGCAACACAACAGCCCATTTTTTCTGTCTTAAAGGTATTATGATTTTTGATATAATATGTATAGTACTTTTTTAAGGTATAAAGAATAGCTTGTCCATATAATAGTGAAAGATTTTTTAGAATGGGATCAGTAGTTATAGAGATTACACATTACATCCAAACTTACAAACTTTATACATAACCACACTACACATTTAATATTACCACGGTAATGTTATGCATAATTACCGTAATATTACTGTACCTACCTACCTGTATATTTATCTATAGTTTCGTCCGTGTGTTGGCATAGATCCTTAAAAATAGTTTCCTCAGAAATCAACCGTTCTCACGTATCTAGTTACAGTAAGCGGGTCGCCGGCGTGACGCGCACGGGACGGAGATGTGACGGCAACGACGCGATCAACACGATTCGATCATGGTAACGGATTACTAAACGTTGCGTTTCCATAACGCTCATACATTAGAGCGGCTTAAAGCCATGTAAATTACATGCACGTCGCACGGCGATTAGGTCCCGTTGAAGAATCATACGCCGTATCATTGGGTTTTAGATGTCTGTTTAGATATGTCTCGCCGATGCTAGAAATGTTTCGATTTGTCTGTTATTTGCATACAACACAAATATAAAATTTACTTATATGTATGAATTATAAAGTAACAGGTAACAATTAAATTAATTACTATTATAACAATCTTTGTATAGACGAAGGGAAGGCTGGATTATTAATTTTATGTTTATAGTCTTCTAAATAACAAAATAAATAATAGAGTTATCCGTTATGTTATAGTATTATATTATAATACTGGCTTTTGGAAAATTAATAAACATTACTTAAACCCATTTCTGTTTCTCTTACCAAATATATGTACTAAATTATCGAAACTCCCAGGAAACATGGTTTGAATAATGATATCTTCTAGATGAGCTTATTACAAATCCAATCTACAGGAGTTCACGTGTATAATAATCGGGCCTGCAGACTGCAGACTGTGGTGTGTAGGTACTGTCGGCTGGTCCCTGCGCATGCGCACCGCTTCCTCTATTTAATTAACCAATTACACGCAGTAACTAGAACTCAGATCGTAACTCAATCTTCGCTCCGTTATACTATTTTCTTTACGTCGGCTAAGGAATAAAAACTCTACCTACTACTTGTTGTAGATATTGGTCGTTCAAAGAATAATAGCCGTCACAATTTTTTTTCATATCATCATAAAATATTATTTAATCGATTATATAAACATATTACATTCTTTAAATAAATACATATTAAATAATAATGAATTGTTAAAAAACACTTATATTCCTAAGTCATTAATCTATTCAGCTACGTATAGAATCTTTTATTATATCAAAAGAATGCGCACTTGTGGTGTTGTGTTATGTAGAAAATGTGTATTTGTCTGTATTTTCTTTAATTTAAATGAACTTAATCTTAGTTCTCATTGGCCTCAGTATGAACAAAAACAAGAAACGCTTAACATGATTCATGACGAATTTTTATGTGGTCGGAGCCGATGTACGAGCGAGTCGAGCAGTTCTAGAACTTGGCTCAGTTTATTTGATAGGCCGTGATTAATAAATGTTTCAGAATAATGGAAAACGTAATACGAGCGGGATCCCGCCTCGGAGGTTCATTTGTTACCGACCTTTAATAAATAACGATACGCCTTTGAGTAATGGCCGGGAATGTTTCGCGATTACGAAGTTGGCGGCGAACAAAGACGGAGCCGCAAGCCAGGTAACGCCGCGACTGCTCCGGCGCACGAAACTCACAGTCAGACGTTTTAATTAAGGACACGCCGGGCGCAGGGTGGCGGGGACTCGATTATCTCGACTTAATTCGGCGGAAGATAGAGCGATGTCGACTGACGTACTTCTTGTTCTTTTTTGTCGCTTCAGCCGGACTGATTATTGCGGCTGTGCAGCCGAAATAATCGCTGTCAGCGCGGCGATTGAAGTCACATACCTGAGTCCACTTTAACGAACCTTAAATAAAATATTTAAATATTCGCCACAAATGAAATACTCGCGCAAGTTTTACCTGCAGTGCTATTCAGATATATTCGCTTCTGCAATTTTGATTTAAACGCCGTGTCAGTAGGCGTTTCGAATCATAGAATATAATCATGATATTACCTCGCTAATTTTAAAGATTGCACATCCGTATTGCCGTAGTAGAGAGCTCGGGTTTATCGTTGAACTTGCTGCGATTTTACTTCTCTGCGAAAACTTGCAATACATCTCTCAGCAGGTGCCCGCCGCTGCATAAAAAGTTCTTTCACACGCCAAAAAACATAAATCTGGTCAAGTTTAACTTAAACGGAGTCTAAGCGTTTCGATGTAGAGTCGATTTCGGTATGGTCGTGTTTACTTGTTCGTTGATGTAAATATAGCAGTTTATTTTGACAAATAGCGGGTGTCTGGGCAGCGGCAGCGAGTCGGTGCCTGTAATGAGGCTAATCCAGCTCGCGGCGAGGTCACACTGAGTTCCCGGGTCTGCTAACGGTATATAATGATTGACTAAACGAATAACCGATGTTTGAGGAATTGCAAGTTATTTAGCGAGTCTCATGTAACACGATGTTACGCTGTAATGTAAGTTAGAACATCGTACGTTTGAAAATAGTTACGAGATTGTATATTACGAGAATATTCTTAGAAAGGTTCATTATCTTACATATGAGTTGGTTCGCATACTTAGTGAGCATTATTTCAGTCGAGAAACTTGGCCTTTTTTGAGACTACATATTTAGCCTGAAAATTACCATTAGTTAATATTTAAATCGGTAGTAGAACGACTATTCTTAGAAAATTTGATGTCTTATTATTCTTTTTTTTTAAATACTGAGTACAATATTTATGATCTATTTGTCCTCAGATACTTCAGTATGGTAATCCCAGGCTCATTGATGTTAAAAATAATCTAATTTAGCGCTGTAGTGACATAACGTGAGGAGGCGTCAGGCTGATAGCGCGGCAATAACGCCGCGGTAGTGTGATAGCACACTGACATAGTGGCGCGTGCCTGATAACAATGTACAACGAATAACCTATTTTTTTTTTTAATTTTGTTACTAACACAAAAAGTTATAACAGATTACATTTTTTTTATTTTATTTACTTATTTCACAAATACTTTACATAACATACATTATAAATATGTATATATACTTAAATGTTTCAAACAGGGACTCAGTAAATGTCATAGAGAATTATTTGGTAATGTTAAGAAACAAGCGCAGGCACGGAGAGAGGCTCGAACAACGATGTTAACTTGCCGGTTTCTGGTACAGGAACTACAAGAGTGAATAATCTCTCTAAGAAAAAGGAGTTACGTGTTCAAAATTATTACTACTTTCTTTTTTAATATTAATATTATGTATTTCTCGACTTCATCTGTAAAAGATAAGGATATTTAAGAGATTTATAATATAGATACAAAATGAGAGCGAACCGATAGTTTAAAAGTATTTATGAAAATGTGTGAGTGTAAGTCGCTAGTACATAGGGAAGTTTAAACGGTTAGCATAGATTTCTTAGCAATAAGATACTAAGCCGCAGTAAAAATTATCCTATGTAATATATAAAAAATATCCTATGTAATACAACCCGGATAACCAACTACTATCTTAGCAAATTTTATCAAAATCTGTCCAATGGTTTTCTCGTGATTCGTTCCCAGACAGACAAACAGACAAAAATTCTAAACACTATAGATTCGGCCTCTTATCGATAATAATGTCTAATTAAATAAGATTTCCAAAAAAATATTTTATATACAGATTCGACTCAGAATTTCATTATATTTATAATGTACATTGTATAATGTATACTATATTGATTAGCGTATTGAGAAACTTAACAGTCAATCTGAACGCAAACCGAAGCAGCGACCTCCGAAGTACATAATATTCTGATCAAATACTCATCACTCTTTAAAAGATTACGATTGTCATTATTGATTCTGGATTTATCGAGAAGACGACAAGCGTCGACATCCTCGCACGTGGAGCCACTAACTGTACTGCTCCGTGCCGGATGTGGCAACCTGTCACTGCGCAGGTGCTAGGATTCTCACGATCAAATTTCAAATAAGCAACGTTATTTATACATCACAATTCTACTAAACTTAGCACTAACGTACAACTTAGTGTTCATTGAAAGATTTTAAAGAGTTTAACTAGAGCGAGCACGCGGTATCTGTGCAATGCATAGCCGAGACACCTTGTACATGTAGGTAGGTACATAGACAGTTCGCTTTCACCGATTTTTAAATTAAAGAATTGTAATTAAAAACGAAAAACTATCAATTTTTTTTATGTAATTCTGTACATGTTATTGTTTGTTTTTCATATATAACCTAAATAAATAATGGTCGAAATCGGAGTTAGTGTTATAAATTCTTTTGATTTTCGCTCTGATATTCGAAACAGCCTATGAAATTAGTATCCCCCTCCAGTCACTGGGAATCTAATATTTTAATCAAACTTACTTTTAATATTCGAGTAGAACCAATCTAAAACTTTTATTTCCTTTATATGACTGGACAAATAACCGTTCTAATATATATATGTATGTATATGTAATTACGGGGCGGAGGGGAAGGTACCAAAAAACTATAGTTAGTTCATTTACCTCATTATTACTCTTCTTAATTAAACGAGTATTCATAAAATGAGCCAGTTTTGCGCGAGGCTGGTGAGCTAGATGTAATCAGGCTAATGCCAGTTATAGCTCTTTTTAATTAAAGCCGACTTTTCTAAGTAAAAAGCAAATGAGATAAAATGATAATCTACCAAAAATACAAGGCAACGACCCTTTAAGTATGCGAGTAATAAAAGTCATTTATATAGAAGCTTAATAGCGTCTACTGTTCATAAAACCTCAATAAATTGATTCGGACACAACGTCACAATGAGAATGTCGTCGCAACGAGTTCCGCTGAGGATATTTAAGATATCCTAAGCTTAGTTCCTGCTTTTTCCTTAGCTCATATGATTTGTAAAAAGCTATTAAAACCAACATATGTAAATACGCGTTAAAAAATCTGTCTCTTTGTTTGTTTGTCTGTGGTAATACTAAATGGCTGAAACAATTGTGACGATAATGTTATTACTTTTAAGCTAAAAATATTTACGGTTTGATGAGTATTTGAAAAAATGCGAAAATTATTATCTAAATTAGAAGTTTTGCATACGTAGGTATAGTAAGAGTGATACGGACCCGGACGATACATTCAATACAAAGAAGCTTTCTAAGAATACTTTACGACGCGACGTTGACTATTTTCTTTGATTTTGGTGTTTAAAAGTTAAAGGCAGGCAATGCCCGTTTCTTTCTTAGCAAGAAATGGGTTTTGAGAAAAATACTCTATGGGTGTTTTGTTGCGATGTAGAGGACAGTAGTTTTACCAAAAGTCTACTTTTACACCACGTAGATTTATTTTGTAGTTAAAAAATAAATTTCTTTATAATTCACGCGAACGAAGTTGCGAGTGAAGCTAGTTATAAATAAAATTAATGTATTCGAAAGAAATCTCAAACGTCTTCATAGCAGAGTTTCTCAAGGTTCTTGTATGACGTTTTGTTTGTTACAATAGTTGCATAAGAGACGTAACGATGTAATTAACTCATTTTGTCGTTGAATAATTTGATCAAGTAATATTAATTAGTGTAATATGTAGATAATGCCGGCGTTAGTATCGTAGTATCGGCGCGCGCGCATCCGTATGATAGCAGCTTCCGTCGGTTCCCCGCGGCCTCTGCACTCGCCATCATAACATTCGTTTACGAATATATCTTACTAGCTAACTATAAAAAAGCTTATAGCTAACACTCCCGGCGCTGTCTGCTAGAGAATAAATTATTATTTTACAAACAAAATATATTATTTTATAAAGAAATATACCTACTAAGTAGGTTACGCATTACGTTATGTTTTCTTGTAAGTCTTTTTTTATAAAAAAAATTGATAGATCTTATATGATGTCGAATGTTTAGGATATCTTGTATTATACATTAGAAAGTAGTTAATATTTGTCTTAATATAAACAAAAATACCAATCACAGTTCTATCATAAATGCGAAAGCTTGTATGACTGTAGCAGTGACAAACTGCTTCACGCTGAAATGGCTGCATGGATTTATAAGTTTAATACAAAGGTAGATTATGACCTAGGGTCGCACCCGTGACCCGAGCGAAGCGTGGGTAGGTTGTAAGTAATTAACAAACTATAGCACTTCAAATTACGCCAACTTCAAAGCAAATTAAGCGATTACAAAAGGCATGTTTCCCCAATAAACTTGTAATGAACGGCGAAGTACCAATTAATTGTAATTCAATGATGCAATCAATGGCCGTTTTTATTAGTGTCGAGCAGCAAGTAGCGTCTCTAATCATTATAATAATGTTATTAGCTTAATGAACGACGCATACGCATTCATTAATCGGAACTTGATTAACAAATTGCTACTGGCCCTACCGCCCCCCGCGCCGCCCGCCCCCGCCCCCGCTCTCGCGCCTCACTGTGCGCCCGACAGCGTCACATCTGATGACTTCATTACGGGATCGATATCTTACTTACGTAGGAAGTAAGCACACTGTTGGCGGTACCTACGGTTTCTCTGAACAAGACTTACAAATATTGTAAAGACATTCCATTTCATACTTTTGAAATTTCTTGTTGTTGGGGAAATGCTAATTTAATATACTTATTAAATACTTGGTTATGTGTGTTCCTTATTTACGGAAGGTGTCGTGTCGGTGTGGACTACGCGCACTGCACACTGCACAGTCTCCACGGAGCCTTATTCCCTCGCAACAGCAAGTCATTAATCACGACGGACGCGGTACATCTTAATGCACATGGCGAATAAATTATTATTTGTCTAATCTAATATGGTCATATTAATGACTAAATATTTGATCAGTTATAATAGTAACTGATCAAAATAATTCATAGCTATTGTTATGAAATTTATACATGCTTATATATTTTTAAAAGTTTCCTTTTTTCAAGTAATTTCTATAAATACTGTGTTTAAGACTACTGTTTTTCTTTTAATCCTTTGTTTAGCAATTGCACAAGTAATATCTACAATAAAAATGGTAAAGGTTATTATATTAAATGCACTCAACATAATATAATTCATCCAAATAAAAATTAACCTAAAATTTATTTACAGAATTCACTCGCATTAAAAATAAGAGAAAAGAAGTCTTTAGGGGCTCAAATAATTTAATCGTTTCTCAGAAGTTAAAACAGTAACGTGTATCTAGATGTGAAGGCTGGCCGCGGCGGGCGAGGCGGGCCAGCCAGCGCGCACCGACACTTGCTGCTCGGAGCTCGCAGCCGCTCGTCGCTATTCGTCCGTCGCGTTTATCAAACAGTCCCTTATTTTCGCTTAATTAGTCCACGATTCTCACGAGTTGTCGCCATCGTCCTGCGAATCCGATTTAGGTATTTTAATGAGCTCCTTGGAAGCCCACCGATCCCCTCGCCCCCCGTCTTCCTCTTTGTCCCCCGTCCCTTCTCCCTAACGGACGGACGTTTTTATCGATCCATGACACAAGGTGTTCAAGATTTATGTGTTGCTGTTTTGGCAAAAAAGCACCAACAGAGATTGGGCATTATACATGATCATTAATCCGTACAAGTCATAAATGTATTTTCTGATTAAAGTAAATACTCGTACTAAGTATCTATTCGCTGTAGTATCCAATATAGACAAACAATTCGTTAGTCATACTGTGCTGCCACAAGCCATTATTTTGTCTTACGTAATATAATATTAAAAAGGTGGTCTTTTAAGATTACCGTTATTTTTTATTTTAAAATAGAATCCAAAGTTTAATAGCTTGTAGCAGTTTGAAAGCAAGACTGTGGCTAATTGCCGAGTGTTCGCTAGTCGTCGTTAGTCGTGCGGTTTTACGATTCTTGAAAACGTATAGTTTTTGTCTGGCACGTCACGGCGCGGGTGACGACGTGTGAACACACCGCGCCGTGACCAATCAGGGGACCTGCTCGGGGCGGCACCATTGATCACCTTACACAGCTACCGGCCTCGAGGCTGCGGTATTCAACTATGAAACTTGATCAACCTCATTGAGCCACTAGATTTAGCGTAGAGATTCATTTACTTGGTATTTGACTATGTATCCGACTAAAATCTCTAAAGTAGACTATAAATATTACCGTTTTAGGATTTAGATGAGTTGAGCTAAGCGTTCCATTATGTTTAGGTGAAATCATTACTTCAAACTTGCAAAATAAAAGCCCTTTTTCCACAAATGGATAGCCGTGTAATGGACATAAGCGAGTTTAATACAGTATCGATATCCAACGATGCGCAGGCGCTGCAGCCGCGACCAAGTCGTTTATCCGCATCAGTGCGCTCGAGTGAATGGAGTAGCGTGGGCCGTGGCGGACTACATGGTTTTTACGCACACTTAATTACGCTTATTATCCGCTCGACTAACCTAATGTTTATCAAAGTAACTCATCACCAGTTATCTTAACTTTCTAACCACTGAATCATTATGTATATATATTTCACCGTTTTTAAAAGATATAGGTAGATTAGATTTTAGGTTCTATAATGGATAAGGAATTATTCCCTTAGGAAGGGAATAATTCTTCAATCCAATAGTTAGTGCAAGATCAATAGTTTTGTTCATTTACATTTTAATACGGACCGATCGAGATAAGATATTATCGGCTTCCGATGTCACAGAGCCTGGATAGGCCTAATGGAGTCGAGTGCGCGATAGCATCGAGGCCACCTTAACCGGAGACGGTTCGTACGGGCCCAATAAATCCTTCTGAAGGCTCTGTCGAAACGAGACTCGCGGTTTGCATCTGTGTTTTAGTACTTTATTATAATTATTCAACAGAACGCGAGATTTCGTATACAGATGATTATTTTTTTGCATGTATAATTTAGTCATCTCTGTCTGTGGTGAAATGGCGAAGTGCAACTTGAATAACATTATTATACTTAAAAGGATATTAACATTACGCGTCAACGACTGCGTGTCACTTAACAAGCCCAGACAATTACACGAAGTTCGGTGCGGTCGGTCGGAGGCCAGCTCGCGCTTGGCAGCAGGCACTCTTCCACTGGCTCGCCATGTTTTAATTACGCTTCGCGGGTGGGCGTGACGTCACGGCTCGGCTTTCAAGTTAACGCACTTCTCTTTGTAGCCACCGTCCTTGTTTCTGAAGAACTTTAATTTTCTGTCAATCAACATTTTATGACAAAAGCTGCGGAATCCGCCGTAAATACCGTTTCCGAGCAAAGCTTTTGACATTTAATGAAATATTTGTCAACTGGAATCTGTAAAGTTCTCTATGTAGTTAATTACATTAAGTTATATGAGAATTTCTTATCAAAATATTTTTATTTAACCAATTTAAACATACAGTTTATCTAAAGTGATGTTCTTATGCAATTTACACTTGGTCATCTTGTTCTAAAAAAATGATTGCATAAGAACATTATTTTTTACACAATATAATAGTTTTTTCTTTCACTCCCTCTGTTGCGTTTTTATACTAATTTAAATCATTAACTAAACTTTGCACTTTAAATGTAAAAATGTGATAAAATCTATACATATAATAAAACAGTAACTCAGTGAAATCTATACATGAAATATTTTTAAAAACAATGTCTATAACGTATTGTGTACAGAATATAGACCCCAAAACAATAGTTAAGTATTAAAAATTTTGTCTGTTTGTTTGTCTGATATGTGTGCGCGTTTCATACAAAAAGTACTGAACCAATTTTAACTAAGTTTTGTGTGGTGATAACTTATTACTCAGTTCAACGTTTAGGATACCTTTCACTACAGGAAAATCATTCTTTCGCACGGGAAAACACAATAACTGGTTCTATTATGTTATCCTTAGAGATTTATTTGGTTAGCCAACGCTGGCTAAACCCTAAGAGACGCATCAAAACAATGTACTAGAAAATTGTAGCAAAAGGTCTACAGAAAAATCTACGATAGTTTATGTCTATCTCCTAAGGTATTTTTATATTTTTATCATATAAAAAACCTAAAAAAAACTACTTCCAGGCATTAAAATATAAAAAAGAACTAAACAGGGGTTTTCATTTAGGATAGATACCTAATCAGATACTTTCGAAGTCGGTGCCAGCCGATGCAAAGCAAATTTAATATATTTCTATACGTAAAATACATTAGTGTGTAATACATAGTGCCTGGATGTCGGTTTTTTTTAAGTTTTTATTTTTCTATTTTTAGTGTAGACGTAATAAGCACGTAATTTGTAAGAAGAAAGTTTTTAATAATATATTCGATTAACAATTTATTTAAAAAATATATTTATTGTTGATTTTTTAAATACCACTCGACCGATTTCGATAAAATTTATATGGGAACACTCGGGAAGTACCTTTGAAACAAAATAAAAAAAATCCAAATCGATTCAGGCGTCTTCGAGTAATCGGTGAACATACATAAAAAAAATGCACACGAATTGAGAACCTCTTCCTAACCTAACCTCCTTTTTTGGAGTCGGTTGAAAAGGCAAAGTCGCGACTTACTGATTGACTCATCAACGTTTAGCCTAAACCAATGATAAACCTTTAAAAACTGGAAAACTGGAAGGAGGTAAAATAGGGGATGAAAGTTTTTCAGAATCTCTGTCATTTTTAATGTGTAATGCACGAAAATTAGTATTTATATCCATACTTAATATTATAAATGTGAAAGTGTGTTTGTTTGTCCTTATTTTTTATGTATGGAGGTAATTGGAGGGCTGGAGAGTGACATTTACTTTTTATTACTTTTTACAACCCATAACAACTCATCTACTAACGGTTAGTATGGAATAGATAGACTATTTACATTATATATATAATCTATCTATTTGATGCTAACCGTTAAAACGTACTTAGGGACGAACCCAAGAGAAGCGAGGGTGAGTCGCTTGTATGATATAAATAAAATATAATTATGCAACTTTGTAATAACCGCATATAATTCTCGCCATATTCAGTTCGCTATCGCAATTGTCAACTTTCTGTGGTTGATAATATTCTGTCTCAATAAATAATTTCTAATCGCAGGCAAATGGGACACCAGTTAAGATCTGTATCAGTAGCAGATATCGAAACGCGGAGGTAAATATCTGGATAGGTTCGCCACAACGTTGGAATAAAGCTAGTACTATTATTATAATATTTTTTTCAATTTTATCTATCTTTTGTTATAAATATATACAATGTACTTAAATGTTCATTAAAATAATGTTATCAAACGAGGCGAGGTCGACATTATTGTATTATATTATATAGATTACAATAAATCTATCCTAAGAGCTAGATGTGAAATACTGTCCTGGCAACTTAAATATGATGGTATCTCTATTACAGGCGAGTTTAGCAACATTTAGCCTGTATAAGAACAGAACAGACAAGTGATATGTCTCGAGAGGCTTATCGGCCGCATCGGGCGGCGGGCGGCGCGAGCGCGGCCCTTCGCGGACTGATCTCATTGCGGGTAATGAATTCAGAAATCGCAGGATGCTGCATTGATTTAAATTTATTTCATAATGAAACATTCAGTTTACTTAAGCTTTGTACATTTTGAGAGATTTTAAGGAGTTACTAAATACTGGCATTGAGTAGGACTGGAACCACGTTATTCTGAGTGTTATGCTTTTCTTATTGATTGCATGTAGATATCTTCCTAATGTTACATACATATATATGACAGTGTCGATGGCTATGTGTTTTTTTAATAATATTGGAAAACGTCTGCACCCAAGAATCAAACCTGCAATTTTCATTGTTATATTACCCAAGTGTCAGTAAAGCATGTCTCACTGTCTCACGATCATCGACCACCAGTTAGATATTTTTTTAAAGTACTTGTATCTAAATAAAAAACTTGGAAGTTTAACAAAAAAAGGTTGCCCAGCTTTTTTCTACATAGCTATAATAAGACAAACAAAGTGGAGCATAAAGCATTTCATTCCAAATAATTGATAGGAAACGTGCGTAGTTGTGAGGTATCGGGCGGGCGCGGAGTCCCCTGGATCCTCCATTGTAGGCTCTAATTGAATTGATGATAGTTGAGTGCGGGAATTCGGCCGCCCGGCACAGCTCGGCGGACGGACGGACGGACAGACCACGGAGGTGTTATTAGAGACACAAAGGCAGTTTTTGTGCCGTTCGCATCGCTCGCTTTTAATAAATTCGATTACGCGCTATGCTCGCGGGAGAACCAGGCAGCGGCAGTAGGGCTACCGCTTTCAAACGCAATACATGATTACGTAAATTTATAAAATTCATCTTAAGTGATTTGTTTCTATTGTGGTTATGCAACTAAATGTTCTATAGCTTGATAGCGATTAGGAATTATGTGAAATGATTCTGTAACATGAAGATTATTCTTAACGTATATCTCTCTAGTACTCGTAGTATGATGAAAGAGAGTTAATTGGATGCGTCATTTTTACGTTACCTACAATTATATAATTAGTTCCTTTTATATTAGTTCGAGTGAAGGCATGCGGCGAGAATGTTAAATAACAAGAAGTACTTGACGGCCTTTACATTGTTATATCATTTAAAAGAAGCCGAAGAATTAAAAGAATCTCGTTTAATAGTCTTACAATAAAAACGGCCGCCCGATAAGGCGCGGGCAAATGAGAGCGCGAGGCGGCGCGCGGGCAATAACGATCTGCATATCATTTTCACACATTTTATATGCACTGTCGAGCAGATTGGTGGCTTGTACAGCTTTGTTCAGTACGTATGATGAAGTTCATTGAATCCTGTCTTTATTAACATTTAATTTTTAATCCAAGACAACAAATAATCTATAGCCAATCCTTTCTTTACTGTAAAGTTACTTATTTCTATTTTAATATACTTAAATATTACAGTATCCTAATATACTATTATAGTTTAATAATTCATTACATATAACTACTAAATTGTTAGTACTGGTACTTATATAATGAAAATACTCAGTTATGGATAAATAAAAATAGTGTAAAACGAAGTGCTTCTAGGTATCTCGAGACTTACTCAGAAGGTATTTCACGGTCGAGCGGCTAGATGCAGCCCTGTCGCGGCCGGTTCGCTCGAAGAGAACAAATTAAATTCGAGCGTTTACGAGCGGAGGCCTCCCCGCGGCGGCGGCGGCGGCGGCGGGCCGCGTGGCCGCAGATCATGTCACGCAAAAAGCACTGTTTAATTAACCCCTCCCAGCGACCCATTGTGCGCCGGAATTAAACCCACCTGACGCGACTTCGGCGAGGAAATGTTTTATTCATGGAAACATGATTTTTAATGTCGCATTATGTAGTTATAATATGAACTGAACGGTCATCATGTTGTAATACATACGTATAATGTAACGAGGGCATCTCATCATATAATAAGTCCGGGAATTGTAACTTCATTATAAGTTTGGATATAATATGTAGGTAGATGTCTCATTAAACTGATAATATTAATATTTTTAATAAATAACAATAATTGTTTTAATTTTATTTAATAGCTTGCATGTTTCATTATTTTAAGCACGAAAATACTAATTAACTTAAATCATTGGAGCTTTTGAAACATATTGATGTCAATATGCATTAATTGATAGGTTGACCTCGACAAATGGTTTTCATGAGCTGTTGTAGTGCAGTGGTAAGGTTCTTGCATCGCGTGAGGGCACGCGAGTTCAGGGCGAGTGAGGAGCAGAGGAGAGGGAGGAGAAGGGAGGGGGAGGGTTTGAGGGCGAGTGGAAGGGCGAGGGTCGACGCCCTGCGGCGCAGGTGCCGCGCCCCGCTGCTCGTCTCATATAGGCTTCTAGCAAACGATTTTTAAAGTATATTATTAACTTTCTATATCAAGATTTATTGCAAAAATTACTACTATTCAGGTTAGTACTTATTAGCTAAATGCACTTAGATAATCTATATATATATACATAATAACATATTATACATAATAACATATTATACAAATACATATATTTTGTATTAAAAATCTAGAAAAATTGTTCTATTTTGTATAATTAATTTCTTAAAATATTCTAATTGATTTCATAACATGTTGTGTAGTGCAGACTGCAGACTGCAGAGCGCGGCCGAGCTTGCGCGCTGCCTACGCAGGCTGCACTTTTTGCCCGCGCGTTGCCGGCCACCGCTTACGACTTACCAAATTATCAACTTTTCTCCCGGCCGAGGCCGGACTCGCACCAGACGGGAAAAAATTACTCTTTGTTTCATTTTTGTACCGCGCTTGAACTCGTTTCGATGTTTGATTTATCTCTGTAAAATTTTATGGCTGTTATTATATTATATTTATTCAATGAAAGTATGTTCATCCGATTTCCACTCTGTGACTCGCTCGGCTGCAGGAAAGTGCAGTTTTCATTATATAATATATAAATATAACATCAAGGGACGTGAAACAGGAGTGACCTAGCGAACTGTAACTCTCTTATATATTACGATAATATACGGGAAAGGTTCCACGAATGGGACAATTTTTTAGTGTAAGATTTTGAGTGATAAATGGAAAAAAATCTTTTGTTCCTACTTGTTTCATATTACATAGCACTATTAAATAGCAAATAGCTACGACCTATACTAAATTAATCAGAAGTAATAATTCATACATGTATAGATAATGTAAGTTCAAATTCAATAATTAGCCGTATTTAGAAAAAACAATGCGAACTTCAAAAGACTTAATATTTTTTTATAATCAAGTTAATTCAACATATACGTACGTGAGCTGCATTCACTGCGAAGGCAAGCGCGTACATGCCGGAGGTTCAGGTAAGAGGATAGTATTTAATTAATAGAAATCTCTTCAGCAAATTGAAACAGGTTGTGCTCGCCTCATCCCTCACACAAACTGATCTTTGTTCGTTTTCTTAATAACGTATTACGACGTTGGAATGCTCCAACAAATAACATCAATGTTTCTATATAAGAAAAATAATAAGCCTTTTTATTAGTCCGATTAAATTATATGATCGTTTAGATAGAAGCTGGCACTTGATGCGTTAGATGCGACTTTATGTTACGTATATTTTAAAACAGATGCATTCGAAGATTACGTTTGCTTCTAACAAAACTTTATTGTAAAGATTTCATTTAGCTGAAGTAGTAATGTAATAAATATATGGTAAACACTTAGTTATTTAAGAGAAATATACAAAAAGAGAAACAAAATAAACAGGAGCATTTTATTAACTCTAATAAATTATTGCAGGAAGTAAGCTCTTTATTAATGTATTTTTTGATTCAAAAAAACCTTTTTTTTAACGTTGGGAAATGTATTTAGGCATTCACCTACATATATACAGGTGGTTATGTGGACTCACCAGCAAATGCAGTGCTACCCACTAAAACCCAACGGAACCACCCTCGTCTTGATCGGGCGTCGCAGGATCGCTTATGCACTCAACCATGACGCCCCGATTCCAGGTCTGACGAAGCAGACGTGACCACCAAGGGGTTGCTCTCACGGTACACTCTGCTGTCAGAGAAGAACCAGGAGCAACCTTCATAGCACACCGCCTACCGAGATGGGCCGCCTCCCAGCACGTTTCTTGGCTTTGCTCCCGGTTAGATTGCCGGACGCTAATGAGCCCTCCCAACACAACAAGGTACATTGAGGGGTTGATAAAAAAATCCTACTACATTAATTCTCACTAAATAAAAACAATTACTGCTTCAGATAAAAATCTAAACATATTGTATAATATAGTATCGCAGAGGACATAATACTATAATCGATATTAAGGAAAACAAGCAATTCATGTAAATCAATCGTCGACGTGTCTGACTGTGAGCATGCAGCAGGCAGCGTGCAGTATGCGCCGTGCAGCGTGCAGCATGCGGTGTGGATCGTGCAGGGAGCAGCGTGCAGCGCGGTCTCAGTGGCCGAAGCGATGCTATCGGCTCATATACGAGCCGCATTAATTGCGCACGCACTCGCCGCGCATAAACTTTGGCAGATAAAGCGCTCGTGATGCACAGATACTCTGCTCTGCTCGCATGCGGCCTCTAACTGCGACTAAGTCATGATAAATCAAATTGCAAACAAATTGAACTAGATAAATCTATAATTTAAGATCATCGATTATATTTTATGTGCTATTTTGAATTTCCTTTATTTATATTATTTAGTTTGATCAGGAATTAGAATTTATTTTTATTTATTTAATACATGTCCATGAAGATTTTATTAATTCTATATTCTCGTAATATTAGATAAATCTTGTGTAACCTATATTACTTTGACTATTTAAATAGCTATTGGTTTCAAATCTTCTCTTAAATAAATCAATCTAAATAAAACTACCTTTTCGGATTATTTCGTGGATTTATTTAGATTTTTGGTTCCCGACGTTTCAAATGCTTTACAGCAATCATGGTCACGGGAGAGACTAAGGTTTTAGACATCTCAAAGGCGTTATATACTGGCTACAGACAGTGCCCACCCACAATTTTATGAAAATGATTTCAAAAAAATGGCACCAAAGTACCTTACAATATTTGTTGATTTTAATTGTAATCATATTTTTTATAAGCATTACTTATAATTAAATACAGTAATATTATTTATTTCACTAACACTAACACAAAAGCGATTGTTGATACGATTAGTGGGATCACATCCCAGGAAATATGGCGAATTTGTATAGCCAAGCCTTTGTATATATTTATACGCTTACATATACAGGTACTTATTTTTCAAATTTAATATAAATGTTTCTATGAAATACACTATATGTTTTAAAAACATGCTATTCAATTATGTAGACGCCATTAGATAATCAACATATTAAATAATTATAAACGAATGTAATACACATCTGTAATACGCGCTACTCGTAAGTTCTACTACAGTCCAGCACCATGGCTTCTATAAAAGTATCTACTGACTACAAATTGTTCTCCTTCTTGGAGCTTAAAAGTCGTCAGTGTGCAAGTGAGTATTAAATCTTGTATTTGTTAGTAAAAACCAGGCAGTTTTATGCGCGACAGCAAACGTCGGCACAATAGCGACGTATATCTGGGCATCGCTCCCGAGTCCCGGGGACCGGGGAGATGCAATGACGTTCTGAGGGCACGTGAATATATGGTACACTGAGTGTACCGTGTACAGCCATCGCTCCTATACAAGGTCAATGCCATCTTACAGCTAACATTCAATAATAAAGGCACTGATTACTTTCTTAGACTTCGCGAATATTTGACATTCTATCATTTGTCTATCTATCTATATCTATTTATATATAAATAAAAATGAATCACCGAAATGTATGTATACACATAACTTCCGATCGACGGCAGCAAATTGGATAATCATTAATCCTTTATTGTGTTTGTATTGTCAGGACAACTTTTGTATAGAAGAAAATGAAAAGATTTTTTTTTAATAAAATAAGATTTTTTTAAATCTTATGAAAGTGAGTGAATGAAATAGTTTTTATCCCGGAAATAATCCCTTAAGAGGATGAAATGGGTATGAAAGTTTGTATAGGGAAGCAAGCTAGAATCCAATCCGAGCGAAGCAAGGGTGAGTCGCTAGTTTTAAATAAAACTACCTTTTCGGATTATTTCACGGATTTATTTTGATTTTTATTTCCTGTCGTGTCAAATACTTTACATACCTCGCATACATAAAATCATGGTCACGATAGAGAATAATACTTTCGTAAATTTACGCGTTTATTTGACATTTTAAATAAAACTATCTTTTCGGATTTTTTCGCGGATTTATTTGGATTTTTGATTCCAGACGTTTCGAATGATTTACAGCAATCATGGTCACGGGAGAGACTGAGGTGTTAGATGTCTCGAAGGTATAGTTGTTACAGACAGCCTACCCACAATTAACAAAATGAAAATTGCACAAATTACTTTACAATATTTTTTAACTTTAAACATTTTTATAATTTTAATTACTTTTATAATTGAATATGGAATATTATTTATTTAATTTTTGCTGTTATTATTATAATTATTACAATTTTAAAAATATTAATTAGTAATCTATATTTAGTGTTGCCATTATTATATTTATAACCATAAAGAAAAATATAAAATATAGTATTAATTATTTAAGCCATATAATTGTTTTATGTGTAATTCAAAAAGTTACAATTAATTAAGGATAATAATTTTAATTTAGTTTGCTATTATTTAAAAAGACAAATTACTAAGAGAAGGAAGATTCTTGCCGCGAAAAAAATCGAATAAATATACCTACTGATTTTTATGTTAATATTTATGATAACGTTTGTAGATTTGTTAATTGTGACATGTTTGTTTATGCTCATTTTATTATTCAAGTTTATTATAATTGTTAAAAATGAAACGATGTCGTATGATAGTCTAATAGAGAGATAGTATCTCGAAGTATAACAATTGTGTGTTTGAGACGACGTGTGAACGCGGAGAGATATGCGTCCTCCCACAGCCGACTCCGGCGAGTATCGCAGGCATTAGGCTGATGCTACGTTACCTGATAAGGACTCTCGTAGACTTGAGACTATGCTGATAATATTACTTATTATTAATATTCAAATAATTATTATTTCTTGATTTTTAAATAACATGCTACTCTAGGTGCCTAATAGTGCCCGGGGGAGAAGCCAACTCCTACCGGGCGCGTCCCCAGGTGGCGGATGGGGGAACGCCACCCGCTGACCTCCAGCAGCGGTTGATACCGGAGAAATCCAGCGCGGACCAAATGGCTTGGTAGGGCCGCTCGTCTAGGCCTCGAGCCGAAAGGTTCGGCCGAAGATGATGTGGCCACCGGTGGTGGGACCGCTTTGGCGGTGGCGATGGGGGTGCTGGTTGCGTGACTGTTGTGGCAGGCTCGCAAACATCGGGATGTAGACCGCGGCGGGAGAGGAGTGCCGGTATTTCGGTGCGTCGTTCTCCCTCCCGCGGCCTAAACGGGGCCGCCACCGGTTGATGGCGGACACGGTGTGGCTGCAGGGGAAGAGAAGTGTGTCGTTGCCGCTCTCCCTGTCCTCTGCAGCCGGATGAAGGTGGCCCACATCGATGTGCGGTGAGGTTTAATGGGGCTGCTCTGGGTACTTCTTTGCCGTAGCAGAGTGGACTGTGGAGCAGCCCCATTGGTTTGGTGGTCTGCCTAATGTTTAGGCAGAGCTGCCGCCGCGCCGAGGCGCCGTAATATTTATGCGCAAGCGATCCTGCGGCGTCCCATTAAAGCGGAGGGGAGGGGAACGTCGGGTTTTAGTGGGTAGTACCGGCTCTTCTAGCCGGTGAGCTCCACATCACCACCTAGGGGATCAGGTGGTATGCTTAAATGCATTTCTCGACAGTAAAAAAGGTGCCTAATAGTGGCCTATATGTTGCTCAGGATCACAGTCAATTTGTTTACTTCCTTTCACCAAAAATCCGTCCGGACCGTTTCAGTGCGAATAAATAAGAGACATACACATTACACATACATACGTCACACTCCCATACAAACATTCGCATACATACTCCATATTTATTTATTTATTAGAATTAACAACAAAAATTACAATAAATTACATATATTTTTTTAATTATTATGAAAACATGATGATTGCACTTTTAAATACACGTAATTCCAACATGCTACTATATTAGTACAACATTAACATCTAAAAGAACAATATGTATTATAGTTGTCCGATTTTACACAATAATTTTATGTGTTGTAGACTGAATTAAGGGAGGAATGTTTAACCTTAATATTACATACATAGGTATTCGTATATCACAAGAACTCTAAAACTAAAGTAATAAATGTTTATTTTTTAAATTTAACACATACTTTCTAAGCAAGGTATTTCCATGGATGGTTGAAGACTATTGTACTTGTTAATTACATTTTTTAATTATTGTTACATGTAAATGTTTTAAATAACATTTTGATAAATTTAATATTCTTGTATGAAGTCTACATTCCCTTTAGTCACATTTGGACAAATGACTGTGGATATTGTCGGGGCTCCGCGCCGCGACGCGACGTCACACAATGGGCAATCGCTTACGCTGTGCACTGTCGCTACTGCTGTAGATCAAAACGAATTACACTTTTTAAAAACCTAGGAAATATTTATAGTTATATTTAGAGAGCAGATGAAATCAATTTATTCGAGAAAACATGGATTATGATGTAAATAATATTTAATTTTCATACTTTGAAAATATTTTTCAGCAATAGTAAGTTGCAATAACTAATTCAGCTTTTGAGACGATTGTTGAACTTTTGTTTTACAGTCTTCGTCAAAACTATATAAAGTTTAGTTACAATAAAAATTCGACACCTCTTGTTTTACTGTTTTTAATTCTCTCGTTTTTGATAAGACTCTTTATTTGCTATATGTACTGCAATATTTAATTATTTATTTGTTAATATATGTATATTATTGTTTAGAAATTATTCTAAATCATACTATTTTTTCATTAAATTACCATTTCACGATTGTAATCGTAAGAGTGAAGAGGTCTGTCGATGCACAACGGTGAAACAGTTAATTTACAATAATCGCGAATGTCTAAAAAGTAAAGTTTATAAATTTAATATTTTGTGGAGCGGAGCAGTTGAAGCTGACCACAAATTGAGCATCTATCGGTTATCGCAAGCTCGCTCGCCACAAAGAAATGTTTAGTAGTCGCCGAGATGAGTCGGGATGTAACCGCAGCGCTGGGCAGGAGCGTTTTTGCACATCCACAGACAATGGACCATCAGCAAAACGGCGCTCTATACATATACGGTACAGTGCGCGTGTGTGTGGCAGTCTGTATGTACGCTTGCTAAATATTAAAAGCGTTGTCAAAGATCAATACAATTATTATTTATTGCTTCCTTATTAAAAATCTTTGTTATGTCTAAATGTGAATAGCTTATTCAGGATTATTTAACAATAATTGGCCGTTTTGTTTAATTAGGACTATTAAATTGAGAGATATAAATAATAAATAAATATATCAAAAATTAACTTAGTTTTGGTCG